AGTAGAAGTTCCTAATAATACTTGGTGGCTTGATTCTGGTGCAACTACTCATGTATCCACTATGTTGCAGGGATTCCCTACGATCCAAACTACAAATCCAAATAAGGATTTCTTGTTCATGGGAAATCGCATGAAGGCTCAAATTGAAGGCATAGGGACTTATCGATTGATCTTGGAGACTGGACATCACCTTGATCTATTACAGACTCTTTATGTTCCTTCAGTTTCTAGGAATTTGATTTCTCTTTCAAGACTTGATGTTTCTGGATTTGATTTTAAGTTTGGACATGGATGTTTCAATTTATATAAGAATACTATTTTTTATGGTTCAGGTGTTCTTATTGATGATTTATACAGATTGAAACTCGATAATAATTTTTCTGAATCCCTGCTTACTATTCATCAAAATATTGGAATTAAACGTAGTTCACTAAATGAAAGTTCTGCTTATTTGTGGCATAAACGTTTGGGTCATGTATCCAAAGAACAATTAAAAAGATTAGTAAAGAATGAAATTCTTCCGAATTTGAATTTTGCTGATCTTGATATATGTTTGGATTGCATTAAAGGAAAGCAACCAAACATACCAAGAAAGGTGCCACAAGGAGCACTCAACTTCTTGAAATTATACACACTGATATTTGCGGACCCTTTGATATTCCATCTTTAGGTGGAGAAAAATATTTTATCACCTTTATCGGTGACTCTTCACATTATGGATTTATCTATTTGTTGAAAGAAAATCTCAAGCAGCGGACGCTCTCAAAGTGTACGTTAATGAGATTGAAAGACGATTAGATAGAAAAGTGAAAATCATTAGGTCAGATAGAGGTGGTGAATATTATGGAAAGTAAAACGAATCAGAATAATGTCCAGGTCCATTTGCAAAATTCCTTAAGAATGGTGAAGTTAGTGGGAGTGTTGAACGACAAAGTGTGAAAATTAATGAGGTAAGGGTAAATATCTCATTGCCCATGAATGTACCTACTTCCACACCAATAACAAATGTTGTTCCTCTTGTTGAAGAACACTTTAACAATATTGAACAACATTTCGATGAAACACTTCAAGAAGGAACTAACTCACAAGTATTTGACGCAAATGAACCACTAACAGTGCCATTAAGAAAATCTCAAAGAGAAAGAAAATCGGCCATTTCAAATAATTATGTGATTTATTTGCAAGAGTCAGATTTTGACATTGGAATTAATAAAGATCTGGTTTCATTTTCACATGCCATAGAAAACACTGAGTCTGATAAATGGATTGATGCCATGAATGAAGAGTTAAAATCCATGAAATACAACAAAGTCTGGGATCTTGTTCAATTACTAGAAAGTTCTAAAAGAATCGGGTGTAGATGGATCTTCAAGACCAAATGCAATTCTAATGGTAATATTGAATGATATAAAGACAGACTTGTTGCCAAGGGGTACACTCAAAAAGGAGGCATTGACTATAAAGAGACCTTTTCACCGGTCTCAAAGAAAGACTCATCAAGAATTGTTTTGACTTTGGTAGCTCATTATGATTTAGAGTTACATCAAATGGATGTGAAACCTGTCTTTCTTAATGGAGACCTCGAGGAGGTTGTTTATATGGACCAACCAAAGGGTTTCAAAATTAAAGGAAAAGATCAAATGGTGCGTAAGCTAAAGAAGTCAATATATGGACTCAAACAAGCCTCACGACAATGGTATATAAAGTTTAATGATACCATAACATCTTTTGGATTTAAGGAAATTACCGTTGATCGGTGCATATACCAAAAGATTAGTGAGAGTAAGTTTATATTTTTAGTCTTGTATGTTGATGACATTTTACTTGCTGCTAATGATTTAGGCATAATTGTG